ATTTTATGATACACATAATCAAGATCTAATTGGGTGTAAAACTGAAAATGTTAAAAAATTGTTGGCTTATGCAGAGTTAAAATTATTTCATACTAATGCTCACTGGCAATTATGATTCTGAAGTTTTCTTATTTGTATACTGGTACAATTAGACTAATTAGAAGATCTCCAGTTTCTTCTGATTAGAGTTTTGATTTTATTTCTGCATAACAGCTTTAGTATGTATATATACATATACTTAATCATTATTTTGTCACCTGCCACATTTCCCTCCCCACAAGCTGGTGTTCAGTGGTGGCTTTTCAGTAACGATTTTGGTTATTTGAGAAAGTAAACCCAGAACCCAGTCCCCTGACTTGCAGTTTAACTCTGTTCACGCAACCCTGCTATCTAGCCCATCTGTTTTTCACAGTTGCCAATTCTGGTCAGAAACAGGTCGTCAGGAGTGTTTTCTAACCTTAACTGTTTGTTCCATCGCTCCCTTTTGGGGACACTTTATATGGATTCAGCTCTGTTGAGCATTCTGCTTTCTGTGTCATGAGGCACATTTTGCCACGCCCAGGCTTGGAGGAAAGTAGACGTGGAGATGAGCTGGGTTTTGCCCTTTGGATGTTGGATTTAGATTCACCATAGCTCAGATAGAGGTGAGGACCTTGACTTTAGTTGGAGTAAATGACAAAGTAAGACCTACCCTAAGATGTATTCCATCCAGTTTAGCTATCAGTTCAGTATTTTTAAGTATACCTCTGGGCTGTTTTTTACCACTTCCATAGTTGTTAACAAGTGATTAATATAAAATAAAAATAAAGGAATCATTGAGAGATATTTGCCTAATGACTTATTTTTGCCTAATAGAATTAAGGCTATAAAGAAAAGCCAAAAGGAGTTTCAAAACAGCTACCTGAAACATTCGCATAAAATGAAGGTTGAGCTGGACATGTGGCTCCTGCTTATAATCCTAGCAACTCTGAAAGCTAAGGAAAAAGGATCGAAACCAGCCTGAGCAACATAGCAAGACACGCCCCCCATCTCTTTAAAAAAAAAAAAAAGGTATGTTTGGTTTTAGTAAGGTCAAGGGTCTACAGCAGTGATTTTCAACCATTGTGCCATGAGAGGATCTTAGGTGTACCAGGAAACTTTAAAGATCTTAATTAAATTATTTTCTTTTCTTTTTTTTTTTTTGAGCCAGAGCCTTAAGCTGTTCCCCTGGGTAGAGTGCTGTGGCATCACAGCTCACAGCAACCTCCAACTCCTGGGCTCAACCGAGTCTTCTGCCTCAGCCTCCCAAGTAGCTGGGACCACAGGTGCCTGCCACAACGCCCGGCTATTTTTTGGTTGCAGCTGTCGTCGTTTGGCGGCCCGGGCTGGATTTGAACCCACCACCTTAGGTGTATGTGGCTGGCGCCTTAGCCACTTGAGCCACAGGTGCCAAGCCAATTAAATTATTTTCAAAAGAAGGTCAAAGCACAGTTGATATTCTCTTTTTTTACTCTTTTTTTTTTGATCAACATAATTTAAATGTGTCATAGAAGTTTAAGTGTAGGTTCAAGTGTGCTATGAGATTAAAAATAGTTGAAAAGCCCTGTTCTCAATGAAATAGTGAATGAAAAACAAAATAGATAAAACTTAATTTTTAAGGAAAACTCCAATGCAGAGACAGAATTGAAGAAGGAAACATTCTAAAGACAGTAGGAGCTGAGAAGAGGTGACACTTGGTAACACATGAAGAAGTGGTATCTGAGCGTGGTCCGTCCTGTGCGGTAACACAATGTAGGTCAAATGATCTATAGTAAAGAATTTGACCAAAGAGAGGTCTGGCCTTTGCTGTCTCTGATAGGAGTGTCTTTGTTTAGGAAGGGAGCTGGTCCCAACAGATCTGAGGGTGGGGCCAGCCATGCCAGAAAAACCAGGTGAGAGTTCTGGGTCACATGATATCAGTTCACCTGGCAGCTGACACCAGCTACTACTATGAGTATGTAGGTATGACTGCCTGCCTACCTGGGTAGTATGAAAGCTTTAAACCCTGAAGCTCAGGCAGACTTGTCCTGTTGGCAGGACTCCAGGCATATTGTCACACATTGACCCTCCAGGAGCCAAGCATTCTGACCCTTCCTGGACTTCTACCTGTGTGCTTCTTCTCTCTTTGGGTAATTTTAATTGCTGCCCTTTCCCTGGAATAAAATGCTAGCTTTTCATTGATTTCTGTGAATTATTCCAGTGAATAGCTGAACCTGAATGTGGTTTTGGGAACACCTGCAAACGTACAGTTGGTGTCAGAAGTGAGAGCAGGCATGTAGAGTACTATTCCCTTTTAACCTCTGTAGTGTGGCTAACTCCAAGCAACTGACCTGAGAACTCTTGGGTTGCAATCATTGATGCCTGAAGGCAAAAGTTTAGAGCTGAAAAATGAATATAAAATGCCTCAAAAATGTAACAGGTGATGTCATTGTCATTTTAGTAATCATAAACCAGCCCTATTTGTCATTAATTAGATCCTTGTCCTTTAAAATCTTAACTGATGCAGTGTGTACGATGAACATGATCGTGTTCATCCTGATGATGAGGATTCAGGGGACACGGCTGTATTGATAATGCGGTCATTTCTGAGTCCAGCCTCGAGATGTAGGAAGCACAGAAGCAACTTAAAGACTTAGACAACTAAGCTATAGATCAAATCTCTTTTCTTAATTGTAGGGTGCTTGGCTCGGCGCCTGTGGCTCAAGCGGCTAGGACGCCAGCCACATGCACCTAAGGTGGCGGGTTCGAATCCCCAGCCCGGGCCCACCAGACAACAATGATGGCTGCAACCAAAGGATAGCCTGGTGTTGTGGCGAGCACCTGTGGTCCCAGCTGCTTGGGAGGCTGAGGCAGGAGACTCGCTTGAGCCCAGGAGTTGGAGGTTGCTGTGAGC